CCCCAAAACCCCAAAACCCCAAAACCCCGTGACTCAAATTTGTATTGAAAAGGTAAAAAGGTTTGAAAGAGAAAAGCTTATTTGACTCTCATAGGCTGTGCATTAAATATTGCATGTACGAATAGATGATCTTACTGAGGATAGAGTCACAACTTCTCTTACACATGCTTTCGAATCCATTGCGCATGTTTGCAGTACTTAAACCATCATATATTGCTTGCCTAGCCTTCTCTATGTTTAGGTTGCTGTAGTGAGAATCGCAGAAGCATCCAGTATAGGCTGCTACACTTGTAAATTTAAATGATTCCTGCGAAAATTAATGAAACTAAATGTATGATACCTTAATGTCAAAGAACTTGAAAGAGCTTTTACCCACATTATTGTGAGCATGCAGAGGATCATCGATCTATACTGTCTAACTCAAGAACTAGGTGAAAATTTATACAAAGTTAAATATTGATTACATTGACAATTTGATAATGGTTGGTCTTTTCAGGAATTTTTCCAGGCAAATGTGTGTAAATACCATAGTTCATATGTTAGAAATCTCCATAGAACTAAAAGAAGTCAATAAGCAGCTTGCCTAAATTGACTTTACTAATCTCTTTTGGCGTTTATGAAGACTGTAAATAGGACACAATCATCAAGAATAAAGCATATGAGCTTATACCGCCAAAGTAGGGATCATTGTATTGGCATACTTTTAAGTATTGCTTTAGTACCAGAATTAGTGGCTCAATGACCTCGTTCTCGTTGAGGAAGTCTTAGACTAACTTAACACATTCAAGTCCATTGTGATTATCAGTCAGCTAAGTAATATCAATACAGAATGGCTGCTCAATAAAAGCTTGGTACTTAGAAATCTATGAACTTTATAAGCCTGATCCTTAGATGATTTATTCAATTTGACATTTAACTTTAACTACTGGAACAGAGGCATTCTCAACAAATTTGACCTCTTATATCCATTTATTTGTTCCTTCTAACTGTAGTTCTCTAGCAATAATGCTCAAAACATATTTAGGATTATGAGAGTTTATATCATTTCTAGGAGTAATTATTACTAAGTCAATATCTGACCAAGGTAAACATAATTTAGTCGCATGAGAGCCATAGACTTTGACTTCTCCGTTCGGTATAGCTTTTTTAATGACAGCTGCTATATTCTTAATTAGCTATTCTTTGATAGGTTGCATTTCTAATAGGATATCTCTGACTGACTCTCTAAATAGAAGTATTTCTTCATGAAGTCTCTACCAGTGATCTTTGGTATCTTAAAGAGTATATGATTGAGACTCATATCTATCAACCATTCTCATTAATAGATTTGGCCTATTTTGTCTCTCAGTTATAGGTGATGGGGCTCCTTAAGTATAGGCCAATTGATTTCCTGACGAACTCTCAATAATTAGGAACTAGTCAAACTATTCTTTAGAGTCGTTATGCATTTTCTGGATTTAGTCAATCTCAGCTTGCTCAAACAAACTCTTATCCTAGAATTTAGATACAATTTTGTCGATGATCTGTTTCTGATGTAGAAATACGTTCATGAAGCATTTTTCCATTTTTATCTTGTTATCTTTGAAGTTATCCTCAACTACCTTGATGTTTTCCTGCATCTTTTATATCTGCTGCTAGAACATGTTCTTTTCCTGTTCAAGAAGGAAGTTAGAGTTCTTGTACAGATTCAAGATCTAGTTCAGGTTGATTATTTCTTTGTCAGCTTTTTCTAGGGACATCTACTGCTCATTGCACTATCTGGTCAGTTCAGCAATCTATTGCTCTTTTTACTTCAAATCTTGATCCTTCTGCTTCTAATGGCGCTAGAGTTTAATACATTTGCTATTCAGCATGAAGACTTTCATATTCTATTCATCGCAGAGGTCCAGTGCTTCCTTCATGGGCTGGTGATTAGGCTAAGTTTAAGTAATGTTTCTTGATGATGACACTTAGGCTGATGTATTTGTAAAAGTTTGGGTATTTGGAGGTAAAGGCAATCCATTGTTGTGGTTAAATGCTTGAATCATTTAATGTGTTTACTGCTGATTGGGCATAGGTGGTTACTAGATGATGATTCCTAAAGATTAGTAAAAAGTGGGAAATGTTGGATTAATCATACTGTGTGAATTAGGCATCATATTTGCTGGATTAAATTGATTTGAAATATAATTTGCATCCCATAATATTTACTATTGTTATTACTACTATTGTTACTACTGCTACTGTGCCTAGACTTACTGCTTCATTTATTAAGATTACTGTTATTATTGCTGCATTGGTTGAGTAGTTTACTATAATGGCTGCTGCATAGATGGATTTTACTGCATAATCTATTATGGAGGTAAAAGAGTGGGGAATTAGCTCAAATTATGAGTAGGAGGAGGCAATTATTACTGCTATCCCATCATCAATGGGGATTAAGGAGGTAACTATGTAGAACTTAGATTAATAATAGGTTGATACCTCTAATGCTGCTAGTTTTAGGGATTCATCTAGGGAGATGAATTGGGGTTGACAGTTGTGAAAGGAAGTGAATTATTGACTCCTTTCTTGTAATTTTACTGCTAATTTCTGTTATTTAAGTTATTTTACTACATTCCTGGCTATTATTACTGCTACTACTGTTATTATATACCATAATTCTGCATTATTTGCGTGTTTTAATAGTTTTATTGCTACTAATTCTAAGAATGCTACTAGTTAATCACTAGATTTCCTTATCCTTAAGGTCCTCCACCTAAGCCAAATGACTGATTTGGGTGAGAAATATGTTTGTTGCTGTTATTTTTTATGTGCTAGGGCTACTGTTATTAAATATGATGCTAATTTTACCCTCCTTTATTCTAAAAATCTAAAGTCTCATTACCCATAAGGCTATTTTACTAGCTATGCTAGATTCTAGCACTCTATATATTCTATTACTGCTACTATTGCTAGTTAGGGTTATGCTACTAGTGTTGTTGTTACTAGTTATAGTGAGGATTATTATTGAAACCCATTGAATTTCTGTTTTTAACAAGATTCTAGTTTTGATTTTAGTTCTTAGAAAAAGTATTTGTCGGTGCCATTGGGGATCTCCTGTTTTATTAAGATCCACTCTCTCCTTAGACATTGTATTGATTACCCTTCATCATCTCATCATTTTTCTTAGGGGATATATTTAGCTAAGACTGAACATACTCAAACTGCATCTTGCTGTCCTCCAATTAGACATATTAATGCTATTATTGTTGCTACTGCTATTGCAAATTTTATTGCTGTTATTATAGATTAGCATGTTAGTGCATATTTTAAACGTTTTGATGGTGCATTTTCTTATCACTGCCCATTCTACTCTCTGCACTTCCTGTGTTATAGTAATCCTAGATAGGCGACTTTTCAATCTAGCTCATTGCATACGCCTCCTCTTTCTAATGCTTGCCTTCATTAATATTTTGACCTTCTGCTTGATTAGTTAGATCTGCTTCCTTAAGAGATTGATTTCTAAGATTATCAACGTTTCTTTACTAATTATGCTGCTGTTGCTTTTACTTAGTACGTTTAGTTGCTTCCTTCTCTATTTTCAAATCCTCTTACTTAACTAATTCATCTTTTACCTTGTTAGCATTGGCCTCCCTTTCCTCCATGAGTTACTTTAAATAAAGGTAAGTGTCCATGTATTACTGACCTCGACCGGCATTCCTCTCAGCAATATTGAATGGCGTCTCCTTTTCCTTATTAATGTTTTGCAGTTCCTAGAATCCACCACCTGCTTGCAGTAATATTTTCACAGAGGTCAAGTCTCCTAGTTCGGTTGCAATGTGCAAAGCAGTATTCTAATTATGAAGTTTATGACTTAAATTTGCACCTATCTCAACAAGTTTTTCAAGAATTTCATGATACTGTTTCTGAGTTGCCTTAAGCAGAGGCGACCATCCATCAATGGAGATTACATTCACATCGGCACCCTTATTAATCAATCTCATAACCACATCTAAGTTCTAAGCGTTTGCCTCTAAGGCATACAGGATTGGACTGCGGGACTTCTTGTCCTTCAGATTCACTTGAGCATCACACTGCTGTAGATAATCGACCACCTCCACATATCCTTTCTCGCAGGCTATCATAAGAGCGGTTTTTCCCTCTTTAGGGTTTTCTGCATCCACATTCGCCCCTGCGTTCAATAGGATTCTAATGCATTCCATCAATTCCTCCTTCTTATTTGAAAGACAACCCTATACAGCCAAAAGAAGAGCTCTATTCAGATCCCTTTTATTTATTGACTCCTCCCCAGCATCATCTATCAAATTCTGCAAATCCTCACAGTTGCAAGACCTAGCTGCCTTTTCGATATCAGCTGACCTCTCAACCTGCTTATTAGCTTTTCTCTAGTGCTCGCTAATATTCTAAGCATTTAAATTATCTAATCCGTAAGAAAAAGCGTCGTTTTAAAAACCTGCTCCCTAAATCTATGAGTTTTATCTACCTTAGTTATTTGAATACATACTCATTCAATTTAAATTATAAACTTATTTCTAATTTTTATAATAATGCAATTAAAACTAATGAATTAATAAAAATATTAAAATAGCACTGAAACACAAGACTATTATGAAACTATTCCATATTTAGAAATTGTCACTAGACTTCATGATATTGATAGTAATGCTTTGTGCAATAACTTTGACTAAAGCTGAACTTGTTCATAACTCTAAAACCAATTCATTGAAGGTAAGTTCTAAATTAGACCATATTAGTCTAAAATTATCTCATTTTAACTCATAGTATAAAATAGGTACTTAAAGACTCTTACACATAATTCAGAGCAGTTGGCTAGGGATTTAGAGACGACGCTCTTCAGGAAGATTTGACTCAAGTGTAAATTGACGTCAAGATTAAATCTCAGAGTTAAGATTTGACATCTTAAAACAAAGGATCGATCCCAAAATAACCATTCGATCTATTTGTGTTTACCAGCACAACAGACTATGAATGTTACATTAGAGGGATCACTATGCTAGACTAGAGACTGGCTGTTGAATGCGAATTTCTTAAGGATTCAGATCTCTCTCATTTCAACATTACTGAATTTAGCTATGATAATGATAAATTCCTGAATAAAGCCAAATAGTATCAAGAATTCTTCTTTGTTATCGATAATACCGATTTCCCACTCTTCACTGATAAGTCCAAAATGCTTGAGTCAGTTCATCCAGCTATTGATTAAAATTAGATCTTCAGAGGAAGAATGCTTGAAGATCCTCATTAAGAGCGATAAGATGTATTGATAAATGTGGAGTTTAATACAACTTTTGCTGCAAGTGAGGAGTATTACACAATGGTCTTTGTTCTAGCATCATTCACTTGCGTACTTCTGATTCTGTTTGGATATATAGTGTGCAAGTACAAGAAGCACAAAAAGATGTATGCTGTACTAGCTGAGGAAAGGAGAAAGCACAGAGAAGAACTGATCAAGAAGAAATCTGAATTCTTCAAAAGGAGTCTCGATGAAATTGATAGGCTTAATGATGATAAAGATGAAAGGAAATAGAGTCTTAAAGATCCAAAGCCTAAAGCAAATATCTTTGACTATTGAAAGAAATAATATAGAATACCTTGATCATTAATAACACTTTACTGATTCCCAAGATAGAACACTCTTGGGGTTTTGGGGTTTTGGGGTTTT